TTGGACATTTGCTTAGGACTATCGGTCCAAATTCTTTGAGGGAAGGGCAAATCTGGATGCAGCTCCAGCTAGGAGCAGATATGTTTGCTAGCGATTGTGACTATGGTAGTGTGGTGAGTGACAGCTTTTCGACTTGTCAAAGCCTTGCCAATTTAAGCCCCTTTCGTAACTGCCTTGGCAGGAAAATTAAAGGTCTGTGCCAAACAAATCTGCAAAGGTGGTTCTCTGATCTTCTCCGGGAGTCTTGCACATTGCCCCCTTCCCCCAACAGCTTTAACAGTCCTACCCATCTCATAGACTATGATACGTAAAGCCAAATGTTGCACGTTCCGCATCTGAAGCTGCTCTGAAAACATAAGGTGCTTATTAGCTGAATTAAAATGACGCCTTTTTAGTTGATGCTGAACCGTAGACATACACTTTGAGGCTTTCTGGCTACATGATTGACTTGACCTTTCACCCAAAGATAAAAATGGCACAGATTGCTGCACATTTTTTTTAAAAAAAGCTTCTCTTGGTGTAACATAGAAGCCATGATTATAACATGGTAGGCGTATGAGAGGAGTTCACATTAGTTCCCCTAGTTACATGGGAAAGGACCCACTAACATAGTGTTAAAAGTACAAAATAGAAAACTAAATATGCAGCAGATTCCTGATAAACCGGAAGCATATGTCTCTGGACTTCTGGGAATCCCCAAGTCTGGACTACTTCTTGAACATATGATAAGAATGCATAGAGAGTATGACAGCTTTAGTGATGTCATAGCTCTGGGTTGCCAATGAAAAAGTATTAGTAATTTTAGCTAAAAGTCATTAAATCTTTATACTTCATTTTCTCTTTACTTCCCTTATAAGCCTCGAGTATTGGCTCCCTTTTCAAGACTACTTTTGGCTAGGAAACTAAGTATTTTTATCACTTCATAAAAATAACTGCATAAATGTCACCAGCAAAGAGCCACAAAGTCCCCTTGGGATGAAACTCCTGGGCAGCTAGCTAAGCTCAGTGTTGGTCTCGCAGGGCAGCTGACTCAAATCCCTGCCTCAGAAAAAGGTCAAGTTATGACATGTCATGGCCATTCCAGCTTACCTTTCACAGAGTGGAAACATTAATCAAAATCTTGGGATTCAGGTGTCTATTATGTGGAGTATGAGCTAGAGATAAGTCTGGAAAGAAACAGCAAAAGAACTAACATGGCTATTTATGATTATTAGTGAGTTCTATTGTTTTTATTATAGCCTTTTAACTCATCAGTGTTTCCAAGTTAGCATTGAGAATCAGAAAAAAGCCAGGAAAACATAAAAGTTATTTTGATAAGAACAGGCAAGATGTCAATCATCTCTTTCACCTCAAGAATCAATGGATGGACTAAATTATAACCATGGCAGCTGTTGGATGTCATGCGTAAGTGTAAGAAAAGGAAATAATTGGGACAGAGAAAGGAACAACAACAACAATAACAACAACAACAACAACAAAAAAAAAAAAACAAGATGGAAAAGCAAAGAAAAAAGGAGGAGAATGAGAACCCAAACCTGACAAATGGTAAGATGGAAAGATGGAGAAATGCCTCTATTTATTCTAGAGATTCTTCATGCCAATGTGATCTGTGCCTAACTCAGATCTCTATGACTTAGGACAATTCCCAGTTGTTCATATATTTAAGAGATTTGTGAACTTCCTAAAACTAAAATATTGACTGATACTTAACAAACTTAATGAATATTCAGTTTGAAGTTAGAAGGGGCCATGGACACAGGAACAAGCAGTTATTTAAAAAACATTTTGGCATTCTGTTATTGAAAGGCTTTATGTTATGCATAAGACCACAGTATGGAAATTTGACACCAATGGTATGTACTAATAAAATTTGATAAATGGTTTAAAATACAACATTTACTTACTATAAAGCAAAATAATGAGAACTATGAAGCTATTTTGGTAAACACAAAAAAATGAGAATCAGGGATATGCTACTGATGTTCATAAACAGTTTATTTCTGCTTTCTTTTGGTTTTAGAGGTATATAATAAGATTATTATTATCACCACAGAGAAGTGGTTGCTAACAGTAACAGTTTTTACAGCTCCTTTTGCAATCTTAGAATACTTAATTTTGTAATGAAACAGAAATAATGGAAGAACTTAATGAGAACAAAAAGAATTTACTTTGCTAGAATATTTTTCCAATTGCTATTAAGATTTTTTTTTTACAATTTAACACCTTAAATCAGTGAAAATCAGTTGTTCAGTATGTTTGAATTGATCTTTTGTGAATTATTGTTTTAAAATACATAAAATGAAACTTAATGAAGCAACACCATGAAACAACAGAACAGGTTCTGTGGGCAGTGTTTGAAAAACCAAGAATTGAATGTATCAAACAACTCTTTCCCTTTCACTCCCAACTTGTGGGTAAGAAAACTGAAGTCCAGAAGGGTAAAGTGATGTAAAACTAAAGTTGTAAACTTAATTATTTAGTGTTATCTTTGCTGTTCATAATACTTCTTGGTCTTGAAAGAGAATAAGCTTGGCTCTCTGAATAGTATTTCCTTCTAAATACTAGAAGAGCCCAAACATCTCAGTATGCACAGAAAATGAGCAAATATCTCAATAATAAAATTTTCATAAAGTTGCAAAATATGTAGCTTTGTACTAAGAATGTCTATGCTTTTCCTTTTGAGAGTTCCTAATTTTGGACATAAAAATGTTGGTTTTAATGTCATTCTGTCACCCTTGATTTTACCAACAGACAGTCGAGCCTGTAGTTAGCAAACAGTTCTTTGAGGGTTTAATTCTCTCCATCCAGAGCAGACCTATTAAAGAGTCTCTTCTATCTACTTTTCCCAGACCCTTCCTTCACTTCAGGTATGCAAAAGAACTCCATTAATTCCATAGCAATTCTTCAAGTACCTCAGCCTCAGGGTAGTACATTTCCATTTCCCAAAGCAGTTTTCCCTTCAGCCTCTCCCACTGGTAAGTCTTAATTTTTACAGCTTTGTCTAATTACTTCTTCAGTAAAAAAGCAGCTTCCTGACATTTGCCTATGACTTACTTTTTCATTTTCCTTTTCTCACTTTTCTTTCTACTACTTCTTTTTAAGTAGCCACCTGTCCCAACATTTATACATGTGCTATATTAGATGTTTTAAAATAACAAAAGGAAAAGCATAAATTGTACATGCAGACGTCTTCCAATATACCCTTTTGCTTTTGGGTAATAAGAAACGGGCCAAAAATGTTCATCCCACAGAGAAGAGTGGGTAAAAATCAGATGCCAGAAAGAATGAGGGCATGTTTTTTCTGGTCATAAAGATATCTCTCCAAATTCTTAACAAAATGCTTTTAATTCACAATTTTCTTCTGTGGTCATTTCTTCACTGAAGTTTTTTACCTAGTGGGGAAAACTTTATATAATAGAAGAGAATTAATTCTTCATTTCTCCTAGAAATATACATATAAATTTTAATGGAAAAGTGTTGATAAGACTTCCAATGTCTGTCTGTGGCTGAGTTGGCCTGTCTAAATTGAGATAAATATGCTTTTTACAAACTAGTCTTCCTATTACAGGTATGGATAACATTTTTTAATAGGACAATTTTTACATAGCTTCAATTGCATGGGTTATAATTATCATGGCTAAAAATATATCAAATGCTTGACTATTTCCAAAATAAAGAAATCAAAGCAATTTTTAACACCTTATTTAGTTTTATATCATATTCAACTTTTAATATAGAATATTCTGGTATAATATGAAACTAAATTAAACTTCACCTAAATTATAAAATATCTATTCTTTCTGTTTATTTAACGAGTTCACTTTTATGAGGCAGATAATACGGTTCTTACAAGTTAATTAGTAATAGCAATTTCATGTCACTTAGAGAATTCAGAATTCACAAACATAAGGTAGAAAGATGATAAGAACATAACCTTTAAAAAGTTAACAGCAGAAAATAAAACCACATTACTTACAGCCCCAAGATAGAGTGATTTGCATTGGCATTGCTCATGTACTAGTAACTATTCAAAGTTTTCTTTGTGTGCATTATAATTAGTAAATTCTGATTTAAAAATTTACATTGCAGTGTTTCTCTGGAAATCCAAGGAGTTTGGATAAGGATATTTTACCTTTTGGTCTTCTAGATAACTTTCGTAGGGAAGAATTTTCTATGTCCTCTCTAATTAATCAAGCATGAATGAACTATTACTAAAGAGACTCCCTAGAAAGAGTTGCAGGTGTTAAGGCAAATGCACCATCATGACAAGTTTCTTGACCTGACTTTCCATGATTACTCATCATTTGAGATGTTTCATTGGCCAGGCTAAATCTTGATCTAGAAAATAATCTGACGGCCAATTGGGGTTTCCAAAAAAGCAAACAATGATGTGTGAAAGTGTTAAGTGTTTAAATACTTAAAGCTTCTAATTAAAAAGACTTTTAAAAACATATGACCTTGGAAATATGTTCTGCTTTCCATTTAGCAAAGGCTGAATTTGTTCAAAGGTAGCAGAACTCTTCTAAGGCTGGTTCTGATTCTAATTAATCAGTGTGGACCACCTACCTACAGGTGAGAAGGAGCCAGCTATGACCCTGAAACATGGTCTGTAATGATCATGTCCCTGATCAGGGACAGAGAGAAAACAGAAAGATACTGACAGCATTGTGCCTGCACATTGGTTAAGAACATCAAATTGTTCATTGGCCTGGATCTTGTCTGAGGAACAAGGAATTGGAATGAAAAGAAGTCAGAAGAGAAGATCACTCCAAAGAGTGCTTCACCTACTACCTTACAAAAGGAAAAGTCCACAGACCCTGAGATAACTTCACACAGCAACAGGAGCAGGAGCACAGGGACTAATGACACAAAACTAGAAAGGGACACTGGATAGCATCACTGGTCATTTTATTTTTGATTTAAAACTTCATTCGAATTTGAGAAGCTTACTTGGGATCTGATTTATGTTTATGATAAATAAACTAGTAAATATGACTGACCTGGCTGGACAAGGATCCAAGTTACACTCCTGAAGCTTGGGTTTGGGTTTGATGTTCTCTGGGTAATAGTGACAGTACTGATCCGCAACCACTCGGTTGCTACGGAGATCATAACACTCAGCCGATGTCAGCTGGTAACCTGCAAGGATCAAACCAACCAGGCAAATTTAAAGGTACATACCAAGGCAATATATTGCTTTATGTGTTTTGGCCATCTCACATTAGTGGAAATTATTCCCCAATGCCCCAGTCATTTCCAGGAAAAAAGACACATAATTGGAAGGCTCATTAATTTTTGCAGGCCTTAAATACTTTTTTTTTCTTCAAGTAATCCACTCACTGTAATAATTAAATTATATTACAGAGCTTGAATTACATGAGGGCATAGCCAGATTATAAGGCTCTATAAAAAGAGAAGAACTATTCTTTTATTTCTTTTGTATAATAAAAAAATTAAATACAGACTTTTACATCCAAAAAACACCATTGGTATTTATTTACCAATCTTATGCAAGGATGTCTAACTGCCCCCCTAGTACCTATAACACCAGAAAACAATAAACTCTTAAATAAATAAATAAAATATATCTCAACATCTCCTGCCCCTTGGACCATGGAGTTCAATGGAGCATAGCATAGGGTCAGATTCTGCCAGGTGCCAGGGAACACAATTTTTGCCTAAATTCAACCTCAATGGGTTGAGCTGAGTAAGTGGACAATTAAGATCCCTGCAATAGCCACCATTAACCTGTTTCTTTACAGAACTACAAAAAAAAAAAAAAAAAAAAAAAAAATCAAATGAAAATTCTCTCCCTGTTTAATTTTTGCCTTCTCCAAAATCTGTTGCCATTTCTCTTTAAATTAAGTCTCTAGCCCTTATTTCTTAGTCTCTATCTGCACTGTTTAGAGAAGCCTCTTTTTAAATAACATTTTATTGGTACATTATAATTATATATAGTCGTGGAAATCATTGTGAAGAAGCCTCTTTTTAAAAGTTGCTGAGTAATAGTTTTATTATCAATCATGTGTTATCTTTTCTACCTGCCTTGTAATGTCCTGTGCATCTCTCATGGGTGGCGATCAAGACTTAGATCCTGGGGTGAAAAATAAATGTACACAGACTTAAAAAAATATTCATATTATTCTAACCCTAATCAACCCTTCAAGTATATCCTCCTTGGTCAGTAGTTGAGTCCTGTTATTGCTAAACATGTATCAGGAAGCAAGATTTAAATTGTTAAGGGACTTGCAAAAGATTTTAGGAAATCAGAAGGAGACTTTTAAGCCAGATTTCCTGGCTTGAGGCAGTGTTCTCAGACCACCCACAAAAATTAATTGTTCATTAAGGACCTAAAAAAAGACCTTTTAAAATTCTATTGGAAAGATGAAAAGCATGGAAAGTAATGAAAGCAATGGGTAAGAACACATGTTCCACCACACTTTTTGCTTTATAAGAAAATCAAGTAGCAAAATGATATTTTAGATGAGTAAACGTACTTTTATTTTTCAAATCCATTGTACTCCAAAGCAGCTAATTTTATGACAAGGTAAACACACTATAATTTATACACCTGACAATTTATGCTCAAGGGCAGACTTTATCATGCAGCAAATGTGGGGACAAACAATAAAATTATAAATCTGAGATTATGATTTTCAAAACCATAAATTGCCAACCTAAACCCAATGCTTTGAAGATATTATAGTGCATATGAAGTGAAAAGTTAGAATGAAAATGAAAACATTTAGAATGGTCAGATGACTCTGTTTTCTGGAGTTTCACAAGTATCTTGGAATAGAAATTCTTTACACTGGGCAAAATGAACAACCATTTGAATCTGGAGTGAGAAGTAGAGAAGAGAACTTAGAGATCATTTCTTTTGTAATTTTCAAAATGGCCTGTGAAATAAGAGAAATGCAGGTCTCCGCAGCCTGCACAGCTTCACTGAGAGAAGTTCTCCTTTTATCTGGGCTTCCTGAGTAAGATTTCCTTTGAACAAAGCATTTGATATCTGAAAACATTTGAAAACACTTAGAGTTCTGTTTCTTCACTTAAATGTGAGCAAAACTAGGCCAAAGGGATTGGGTATATATGAATCTAACACTGATTGCCTTATTTTATACTGAGCTATTGTCAAGGTTATTGAAATTATACCCTCACAGCAGCTCTAGGTGAACCTGGTGTAGTGTGCATATAATTGAATTGCTCTTTCTCATAAAGCATGGTATTTGTTTAGAAAGAAAAAATATTATTTCCTTAGATTGCTTTCTTTGAAACTCTTTTCTATGGTAATTATTAATAAATATATCAAAATAATGGCTCCCCAAGAAGCATCAAAGCAATTGACAGATTATTTTTAAACAAAGCAATTTTCTATTCAGGATAGATAGAGCAACCACAAAAGCTATTCAATTGAAGTGCTTAAAATGTTGAATCAGTAGTTATTTAACAATTGAATATAAGCACTTGGTGGCATTTTGACTTACTACTTTTAAGCTAAAATCCAACACTGCTCTGTAGAACAATATTTCTAGTGGTTTGTTCACATGGTATGTATGGAGACAGTTAAAGGTGAACTACCTCATATATTCTTACTGTCTCAAAAAAATTTGAATTATTGTTTGTCTCTATTTTGTAGTATCATCCTTTTATCTCTTGCCTAACTAATTTAGTGATGTTTATGTTGATAAACTATTTAAAGTCAGTCATTTGAAGCTAGGGTGGAATGTATTTGATATGCTAATTTTCAAAGATATATATATATCCATATATATATATTATATGGAAAACTTAAAAGATAATCTATAAAAGTTGGCAGTTAATCCAAAATATTCACATATTGCTTGTTGCCTTTCAGAAAAGAGTTTGGTAATATATGCCAATAGCCCCCAAATTTCTGAAACTCCTTTATCTAGTGTCCTTACTGTTGAGTATTTATCCCAAGGAAATCATCTAAAAGAAGAAAAATACTTAAGAATAAAATTATTCATTATGTTACAATAGTAGAAAGATTTAAATGACCTAACTGATTTATTATAGGGAAATGACAACATAAATTACTATAAAATAATTCAGAGCAAATATTATATAGTCAGGCAAAGTATAAAGAACAGAAAATGGGAGAGAAAAACAAACAAAACAAAAAATTTTCCCATAACACAAAATACCATTCATGATTCAGATGTGATAGAGTGGAGACAGCAATTCACTTCCTGAGTTTTCAGAAGAGATGCATTTTAATTAATATATAAAGTCATGGCATTCCTTTTAATACATGGGGTAGAGCCAAAAATAACTGACCTTAAGTCAGCAATATTTTTGTTCTGGTAATAGACTATTTCCTCTAATCAAGTCACCTTGACAAACGCTCTTCACTTGATCCCTGAATAAATGACGTCTACTCAACCAGAAGTGCCTTAGGACAACACTGCTGCCAAATTATTGTGGGCTTTCCATGAAATCAAGGAAAGAAGTGGGAACTGCTCCCTCTCATGGGTATCTCCAGAAGGAGATGTGTGTGTGGCATCTCCACTGAGGTCTGCCCTACAGGAAGGCTTCAGGATTTGTCTCCATTGAGAAGAAGGAATTGGGTCCACCCAACAGTCCATTTCTTCCATGCAGAAGTTATTCCACTCTTATCATAGTCAACTGCTGCTCTCAGAAGCCCACAGTTTCTAGGTTAAATCAACACTATTACCTCCTCCACAGGTTGCTGAGCAGGGGAAAAAATCCGTCTCCCTCCACCGGTGGATGATAGGCTGGTAGAAGATGAACTGGACCGTGCTATCTGTGGGCCCTGAGTCACGGATCTGCAGGAGACAACAGGAAAGTTGAAGAACTATCGTGCCAGGGTGGTGCTTCCTGGATCCCAGAACAACTTTGGATGAGGAGGGACTGAAGGTCTTGGGCTATGTGAGGAACTGCCTTGGGACAGAAGTGGCAGTGGTAACTTGGCTTATCTTATCACACAACCAGCAAATGGCCCTTGCCTAGGTCACCACTGTCCTTACCTTCTCAGGTCTGTTGCCATAAAAATAAAGGATGGTAATGGTAACATCTCAATTTGTGATTCTGCCACCATGTTATCTCAAGCCAGCATTTCCATTCCATATATATATATCAAGTAAAATTATGTGCATTTTAAAACATAGGCTGGGGAATAAACAATTTGTCCTAAGAAAATTATAAATGCCAGACACTGCTCCAAATGAAAGATAATGTCTGTGGTTAAGGAAAAAAAAAAAAACCTCAAGAATTAATTCAGACACATTTAGGAGGCTTCTTATCAATTTGGTGACTTATATATTTAAATGTACAAAGCTACCAGTTGGAAACTTGCTAAAATGCAAATTCCTGGGCCCAAGCCCAGATAACCAGGCAATTCAAATGTAGATAGTTTAAGAACTAAACTTTAAAAAACCCAATTTATATTATAAAAACAATTACTTTCAAATAAGATTGGTGCTTATGGAAATTACAACTCCTTATTTTAAAAGGGGGAATATGAGGCAAGAATTCTTTAATGACTCTTAAAAGTATAAGGTTGAGAAAACATTCTCAAACTGAAAGAGAAGGGAAAAGTACCTAACATGAACAATTAATCTCATGAAGACAGAGTGACGCGCCCTACGATATTTAGACTGTTGGGCAAGACTTGGACTATTTATTATACTAAAGGGAGTTCCACGGACAATTGAGAGGATCACTCTTTACTCCCGCTACATTATAAATAAAGAAGTATCAAATGCAGCTGAATCACACGGCCTGTCTTTGTTAAGGGTTTTAAGCTTTCTCAGTGTTCCAACTCCTTTTATGTAGGGTAAACTGATGGATCTTGCCCTTGGGTTATTTTAAAGATAGCCCACTTCTCTGCTACTGATCTTGACATGTGGACTAAACACCTAGGATGTAAGAGAAATAGGAATACTGAAGAAACAGGGCCAAGAAAAATTGGTAAGTGCCAAACTCTAGGTCAGCTTTTAGAGTTTGGATGGGAATATGGAAATATTCCTCAGAATGCCTAGGACTGCTAGTGAGGAAGAAAAAAAAAAAGAGGGAAGAAAACCTACCTATCATCTCATAGAATACTGCAGCTGATTCACGGAGCACTCTAATTAGAATAGACAGTGATCCAATTCCCTTCTTTAAAACGAAAACAGTGGACCTAGAAAAGGGTACTAATTTCTGCTATCTTAGGGATATAGAATTATAGAATTAATAACATTCTTTAGAAAGTTTTTCTTTTTCAGCTCACAAAAACCCCTACCTCTCTTGACATGTGTGGTTATCATACTTGGAAAGCTATTGCAGCCTCCTGGAAAAAAATGAAAATATCAGAAAATTCATTTAAACCCGGAGACACTATTCCCCGCTATGAGTCCCTTTCACAATGCTAGAAACTGAGTCCTAAGAATGTATGTGGGGGTGGGGTGGGGTGGGCATCACATCTCTTTATAGCCAAAGCCAGGAGGATGGAATATCACCATGTTTGGAGAAGCCTCGTTCTGGGGCCAGCGCTTGCCTTTTGGTCTGGTTAAAAGGCAAAAAGGTGGAGCAAGTAATTTTTTGGCTTCCTAGAGGTTACCAATAGAAGCCTAAGAGGAAGAAAGGGATGAGGAGGAGTGTTGGTGTTACTGGGAGGGCTAGCAAACACCATGTCGAAGGAAAGAAAATAAGCTGGTTGGGAAGAATATTGCTCTTAGTAAGTTCTGTAAAAAGAACCATAAATTCTGAGGCTGTATGCTTACATTTGAAGAGATTAGAAATGAAAAAGGATCTCTTTATTTATTAGAAATGTAAAAGGATCTCTTTATTTATTTTGAGGATTGAACCCAGAGGCCATCTACCACTGAGCTGCAACTCTAGTCCTTTATATCTTGAGATAAGGTCTAGTTAAGTCATGGAGGCTGGCCTTGAATTTGTGATCTCCTGCCTCAGCCTCCCAAGTTGCTGGAATTATGGGTGTGCGCGACCTGGCTTGGATTGGGACCTCTTTATTTTAAATAGATGAAACCAGTCAGGAGGTGTCTGAATCGCTGGCCACATAATCTTGCTTGATTTTGGCCACATGGATAACATTCCTGATTTCCCCTTCTCTATAATCACATTCTTTCTGTAACAATAACAGTAACAAGCAGCACTTACTGTATGCCTACCACATGTGAGGTATATTTTATTTACATTAATTCTAACCTTAAAACTGTATTATGTTATTTTCCATATTTAAGTTGAAATGGGAAAAATTAGGCTCAGAGAGTTTCAGTGACTTATTGAAGGCCACACAGCTATGGAATAGCAAGATGGTTCTACATAGCTCTAAAGCTGCCAATCTTTTCATAGTTTCATGCAGTCTCCACAGTGGTATTGTGATGATACATACACATTTATCTTTAGTTGTATTCTTGCATCTGTCTTCATAGTATTTTCTTAATTTTTCATTTTAAAGTAGAAACAAATCCTTAAAATAACAAAGGTGAGGCCAATCTGATGTCTAACTCTGATGGCCAAATATTATTCATGTCAATGAGCTTGCCATGCTCCTTTCCTCTGGTTTTCTTAATTCTGGCCTGTTTGGCCCCTTGTTATCATTAGTTCTGCACCTTCATAAACTCTGAATCCTCAATCATCACGTGCTAATTCTCAAGAGTATGCTGAAAGCTTCAGTTTGACACCTTAGAATGTTGGTGTAAGGAGCTGAACACATCTGGCATATGTAATTTTGACCTCCCTATGCTAATAAGAATAAAGAAGTTCTGAACCAAGCTTTTCTCATAATTACAATGTCTCAGTGTTTCTACTGCAATGTAATGACATCTCACCTAAAAGCAGATGAGAAGACTAAAACTGGCCCCCGTCCACAGCAATTGATTGCATTGTCAAGGGAGAGCTGGAAGACAGTGGGAATGTGTGTGTGTGGCCCAGTTCAATCAAAGGAACCAAGGAGAAATAAACACATGAGGACATTAGCAGGTACACGATGGCTTTCCCAGATAAAGGTCAGCAAAAGCATTTTTCTTCTCTGTTGAGTAAAGGGCAATTTGTGAGCTTTTGGTTATCCAACTAAATTGCTTTCTCTCATTGATATTGTAGAAATTTCTGCCCCAGGGAGGCAGGTGGCAGGGGTGCCCCTAATCCGCCATGGCTGTAGTTCAGTCGCTGCTCTGATGATAGCAGGCGGGCAAAGGGAAGCATAGGTGACCCACTACTGTGTATCTGAGCTGGGACCTCAGTGCTGACTTGGTGACAATGCTCTCAGGGCCACCGATGGTCTAGTCTAGTCAAGTCTGTTTTAGTCTACTGTAAAGGGCTTGTAAAAATGCCAGTTGTTACTGGGATGAAGTATAGATTCTATCAACCTACTGTTTGGAATACCTGATCATTTTAGCAGTTGGACGTACTAAGGTTAGAGATTATTAGGTAAAAATGATATAAAAGTTGTGAGTATTCAATTTCCCCTTTGTGCTTTTTTAGAGAGTTTTCTAGTCCTCCTGGCACTGTAGACCTCAGTTAAAAACATACTGCAGTTCAGCCCATAGGCCTACAGCTCAAGAGAGGCGTTGGTTATGGCTGAAGTTGCCCAGGACCCTGGGCAATAACGCAGTGGACCAGAGATGTTTCTTTGGGAACAACAGATGTGCCGTTTGTAAGGAACTAAGAAGGTGGAAAAGATGGGCCAGGCAGGAAATGCTGAGGAACAGAGCAGACCAGATCCTGGAAAGACTATCCTAGTGCTCAGATGGAGGAAGCACAGGAGCAGAGCAGGCCAGCAGGCAGGACTGCAGAGGGGTCTGCACTCAGCAGGAAAAAAGCAAGTACTCTGCTCTCTGGCTCTGTATCTCAAAGCTTGCTGTGTGATTAGCAAAACAGTGTGTGAAACCCAGAAAGAAACCTAGGGTCCTGGAATCTCAGTTCTAAACTCTTGGAACCTATCAGCAAAAAGGGGCATCCTGAATGGAGGAATCACTACATGTAAAAGTTGTGTAGGAAAATGAATCACTACTTACCTTTACTTCTTTGCTTTCCTACCACTGATTTCAACTTTTACTCTCAAGAACCCTCGCTTTAGGACAATTTTTTTTTCCCCTTTACGAGCACAGGTTAAATGGTATGAGGAGACCATCTGGAACAGGCTGGATAGCAGGGCAAAACCAATCAGGGCTTAAAATTTTGCCAAAGCTCAGCCTCCACTGGAGGAAAAAATTGGTTATTACAATATTACTCAAGATTCGCAGGCTGCCCATTTCTCAGAATGCTTTCTAATCACCTTAAAGCATAGTGAATATCTGAATATCTGTAGCTTTTACTACCAGTCCTTTTTACTTCAGCACTCAATTATATACATTATTATTTCAAACTTCTCTATTCAGTGTTTTACTTCCCAAATGACATTGTAAACTAGGAGAGGGAAGATATCATATATGACAGTCAATCAGCCCTAAGTATCAAAGTTCTTTTACAAGAAGGATGGACACAGACACACACACACACACACACACACACACACAGAGAGAGAGAGAGAGAGAGAGAGAAATTCCATAAACTTACTGGCAAAGTGAACTTTGAACTCTCATTACTTTGCTGATGTTACTTCTTTCAAGGCTTCTCCTATAATTCTCCTAATAATAATAAAAAGAACTTTTGGAGCTGGGCACAGTGGCACACACCTGTAATCCCAGTGACACGGCAGGCTGAGGCAGGAGGATCATGAGTTCAAAGTCAGCCCCAAACTTAGCAAGGCCCTAAGCAACTTAGCAAGATCCTGTCTCAAAATCAAAAATAAAAAAGGGCTGGGGATGTAGTTCAGTGGTTA